ATGTCAGGGATTAGGCATTAACGTGAGATTTGCCAGCGTGCGTCCTGCTTGCTTTTATGGCAAGCCATTTGCATTATACCTAAGCAAGGCACGACGAGCAGAGAGAGTGAGAAAGAGAGCGAGTGGCAGAGGGAGAGTGAGACAGACAATTATTTGAAGTCTGGCTGAGCTTTGGCTAACCATTCTTAGTGTTTTGTTCGGTCTTCCTATGGCACCTCAGTTGGCATTGGTAATTGTGCTATATTTTTAAAATACACTGTGAGAAATGTAAAAGCTTTAAGCTTTTAATACTAAGAGGAAATTGTGGCAGAGTCTTCACTTAATCTAAGAGCTAAGTAAAAGTGTACTCTCTCTAACTCTCCCTCTTTTATTTGACTTATCTGAGAGCTATGTGCAAGTATACTCTCTCTATCTCTCTCCCTCTCACATTAAGCTTATCTAAATCGAAGTCTTGTTTATTTTCTTAGCTCAAATCTAAGAAAAGTTGCAAAAATAAACACTTAAAATTAAGGCTCAACTCATTCATTGAAAACTTTCACAAGAAAAATCTTAGTCAATATTTGTACTCTAAACAAAAGACCATGACAATTTCTCTCAGTGAACCCTTATGAATAACGATGTTTGCAAATAGAGCCACAATTTGCTGCATGTTTTTGCTGCATGTCGAGTGCATTTTCCGAATGTAAATTTACATTTTCTGCTGAGTGAAAATATGCGAAAAAAAAAGCCGAAGAAAATTTCGCATAAAAATGGATGAGCATATACAAAAATAAAACATTTGCCTCTGCTAAATACATTGGAAATAAAGTAGATTTTGTTTTGTTTTACAGTTATTGCAAAAACTTGAACGCAATTTCTGTTATGAATCGGACCAAGCGCCAATGCTTGATGGTCGCCTCAAAAATCTGTCGCCTGTTTTTCTGCTGGCTGTGCATATTTCATGTTGCCCTCCACCAAAAGGAAATAAAGAAAATGAAACACATTTTCATTTTGGTATCTGAGCTTGCGATTCGGTGAACTGGAGATCAAAATCTGTGTTTTATTTGCGCTTTCTCTCTCTCTCTCTCTCTCTCTTTCTGCTCTTTCGCTATTTGGTTGCAAAAATGTTGTGGGCTTGGGGTTGGGGGGCGTGTGCCGCCCATGAACTGCAAATTGCGCACGCAAATTGTCTGCTTAAACGGCCTATTCTCGACGTCAGCTCGACGACTGTGTCTATTTCGCGCCTGCAAATCGTAAATCAGCGCAGATTATTGTTGCTCCTCTTGCGAGTTGCCCATTTGCATTTGTATCTTGAACGCGTTTTTCAATTTGAGGCAGCTTAAAGCGTCTTGCAGTTGGGCGCTGCTTCTTCATAAATATGCAAATTGTGCCGCACACCCGCTCTGCATGTGGGTGGGTAGCTGCGGTTGCCGGTTGCCGGCTCTACCCTACCCGTGGCTCTACTCCCCTGAGCTTTGTGCTTACCTTGGCAAGCCACACACAGGGGCAGGGGGAAGTGTATAAAAATATTTGATTATATGCTACCTTACGACTGGCTGTACATTTGCTCAACTAGCTGCCTGCCCAAGTCGCCCACGCCGCCCACTTCGCCCACTCTGCTCCAAGTGGGTAAGAGCTAACGATTTTGATTGTTATGTACATATAACTCGATGCTCACGGATTGCAGGAGTTGTAGCAGGGGCGGGTGCGGGTGCGGGAATGGGTGCGGGAGCAGGAGTCGCAGCCCTCCGCTCTAACCGTAAACAATGTAGCTCAAGTGGGGACTGTTGCTTGGCTTTGTGTTTGTGTCTCAGGCGTTGGGGCAATTGGGCGAGCTTGTGTGCGTGCGCTGTCGTATTACTCATACGCCATGTTGCGGTCGCTTTGGCTGCTCTTTAAGAGGCACTTGGCCAACGCCCGGGCATGTTTAATTGAGTTCATCGGGAAGACAACCGTAATAGGGCAACGACGGAAGGCGGGGGGCATGGGCATGTGCGTGTAAGTGTGCGTTATCTGCCCATCTAGCGGCACTTTTGCCGCCATCTAATTAGACATTGTGACTACCTTAATTGGCTCAAACGCTTGGACTTTATAACTTTTCGCCTCTGCCCACACATACAATGCCAAATGAAAATTGCTTTATCTGCCATCGAATATCTCCCTCTTCTTCACTCTCGCTCTGTCTATCTCCCTTTTTCTGGCTCACTCATTCTGTTTGTTGTCTCCTCTGCTGTCATACATAAATAATATGCCCAGAGGATATTCATCGTTTCATTTCATTTGATTTTCATATTTTCGTATTTGTGCTTTTTATCACAAAGCAGCTTTGCATTCTTCATTTGTTTGTGCTGTGTGTGTGCACATGAATTTTATATAGCAGCGCACAAACAATTCCAAAATCAATAAAATTAAATTGAAAATCATAAACTGAACGGCAGCCAGACTGAGTCGCAACAATAACAACAACAGCAACAACAACTATGAAACTAATTCGCTTCGTTTGTTTCTCTGCTGCAGCAGCTGCACAAAAAGTATTTGTTCTTTTTTTTCAGAAGATTTTTGCTGTTCCCAAACTGTGTAGACTGTATCTATGGGTCCGTCAGAGCCAAATCCAACTGGAATTTAATTTTTAGTTTGCTTCCATTCCATGGTGACTTTTAAGTACTCTACTTTGTGTAGAGAAATTGAATTGTGGTTGGATTTTTCTGAGATATGGAAATATATTTGCGATGAATAATTGTCATGAATAATAATAGTTGCCAAATACTATCGATAAATTAGTATTGTCTAGATAATAAAGATAATAAATCTACACATACAAATAATAATATCGATAAGTTGTTGTTGTGTAGATTATAGATAAAATATCTCTATCAATTGGTTATCTATATAAGTTATCTAATATATATTGAAAACGTATATATCCTTTGGTACTACTTCAAATTTCTTTATAAAGTTACCGTAAATATATAATGTTATATCAAACTTTTAGTCAATTGGTTTGACAAAACAGCAAAATGTATAATGTATAATGTATCGATATGTATCAATAGGGTCGATATGTTTCGCTTTGCAGCTTCTTTTGTTGAATGGATGAGGATGCAATTATATTTTTATTTTTAATAACTTTAAACGAAGAAATAATCAAACATAAGTTATCGATTTTTATCGATTATTGCCTAGTATAGTTACAGCAACTCTCCGCTTTGCTTTGAGTTCTTATCTAATAAGCCAAGTGAATTTAGCCCACTCGTAATCATGGCCTTGAGAGTAATATTGCGTTAGCATTGACTTTGTCGTAAGCCAACTTTCAGAGTTGGCTAAGCCGATTGTTGGAGCTGGCAAGTGGGCTTAATAGGACTCGCTCTGCATAAATGTTTTGTTACAATTCAGGTGCTGCCTAGAATCAAGTTGGCCTCAAATTTGTGAATTGACCCTCGTAATTCCCAATTGGATCTTGCTAATTTTATAATTCAATTATCGACAAGCAAAACTTTTTACTGCCTACAAATGCTCATAAAATGTTTGTTTTAGTTTTCTCTTGAACCTGTGCAGCTGCCTGTCTTTGTTGCTCTTCCTCTGTCTCTCTCTCTCTCTCTCTCTCTGTGTGTGTGTGTGGCATTCATAGTTGCTTAATTAATCAAATTGCGCATTTGATTGCCGGCGGCCTTTTGATTTCTCTAAATAAACTCGTTCAATGCACTTCATATCTTTGCATTCAAATTGAATAATATTATTATTTCGAATGGCGTTGATTAAATAAAATAATAACAGTTTCCATTTGACGTGTTTTACTATTTTCTATTCAAGTGAAATAAGCTTATATTTTGTGATAGATTTTTGGTTTGTAATTTGGGCTTGTATACCTAAAGAGCTTTTGGGCTTGATAAATATTGAGGCTAGCATGATTTAGATGGAACTCGAATCTGGGATTATCTTTAATTATCTGTCTCCCTCTTTCATTTGTTTTGTATTTTGTATCTTCTGTGTTAATTCTGTTTCTATTGTTTTCTAAATTTTGTCTTTTTCGCTCTGCCATATATCTTCAGATTTTTCTGCCTTCTTCTCCATATTCTATTTTCCATCTTCTAACTCTTATCTGCCATCGTACATTTTCTATTTATCTTATATTGTCTATATCTCATATCTTTCTTTCACTTCTAACATGCATCTTCTGTCATCTGGCATCTTATATCTACCCTTTCCTAGGGTCTATTTTCTTTTTTTTTTTTTTCCTTCTATAGAAGGATTTTTATATTCTGTTTCACTTTCTCTCTTCTGCCTTCTTTCTTCTATTTTCTCTTTTCCATACTCGATCTACTATCTCGCATCTTCTCTCTTCCATCTTCCCCCATCTCTTTTCATTCTAACTTCTCACATATATTTTCCACCTTCTGTATTTCTCTAGATGATTTCATAACTTTTCTAATAAAACATGTATTCTTTGCTCTGCTCAAAATATTTTTAAACTTTACTTGCATAAAAGTCAGGTAGAAAAGCAAAGACAAATATGAGAATATAATATTAAATGAAAAATCACTTGAGAACTTTTCTAATTTACGCATAAACTTTTGCTGCGCGTTTTAATTATGTTTTCCCTTTCATTTTTTTTCGTCTGACATTTGTTTTCAAATCTTTCTGAAAATAATTTGGTTGAACAATGCAAACGGCCAAGAAAAAACGAAAATTATGTTGCAATTAAGACATACAAAAAATAAAACAAAAACAGCGACAGGATATATAACAGGAGCAGGAGCAGCAGCAGTAGCCGTAGCAGAAGGAGCATGAAGAGGGGGGCGGAGCAGCAGCTCCAAAATGTGCATGAATTAGCGAGATTTACATGAAAATTTCATAAATATGTAAGCGACGTGGACAGGCCCCAAGCGAGGGCGCATGAAGTGCGACGGGGTGTGTGTGTGTGTGTGGGTGTGTCTGTGAGACAGAGGTACGTTTATGTGTATGTGTGTGTGTGTGTGTCTGTGTTACGAATTCAAGGTACGCGCAATCAAAGCAAAAATTACCTAATTAACATAATCCGCAGTGGCCAAATGAGGCGATGTTTGGGCTGCTTCTTCTAGCTGCTGCTGCTGGTACAGCTGAAGGGGGCGTGGCCAGTAGCAGAAGCTGTGTTTGTCGTCTGGTCGCTGTGGCCGTTGATTAGCGTTTTCCTTTGGGGGCCAGCGCAGCGACGTCCCTCGCCTCTAAGCGGCTTCGCACTCGCCGCTTCCAAATCCTCGGTGATAAGTTGTCCTGGTGTCCAGCAGGAAGCTTAAGGCTTGAAGAGCGAAGCTCGAAGCTGAGGCTGTCCACGGAGCGACAGCCACTGATTAATATACAGACGTTTAAATTTCGTTTTGCGCTTTACGCTTTTGTTTTGCTTTTCGGTTTGTTTTGGCTTGCTGCAGCGTTCGTTGCTTTTTGTTTGTTTTCTTTGGATTTTAATTTATTTTGCTCTTCGGTTTGTTTTCACAGTTGAAGCACTACAGTTTGATGCAGCTTGCATTTAAATTGAATGTTCAATTTGAACAGAGCAGAGTCATAAATTTCAGTTTGCAGCTATCTAAACTAGAGAAATGTTTGTAAAGGAGTTTAAATAAAATTTAATCAAAATAAACTTATTTAAACTTAATAGAAATTTATCAAGGAAACTTTTGCTTTTGAGCTCAAACTTAATATATTTATGCTTTTGTGTCTCTGGCATGCAGGAAAAACTTGTGAGCAGATAAAAGAGAAGAAGCAGGAGGAGAAATAAAACTAGCAGCGCACAGAAGTATGCTATATAAATTTATGAATGACTAAACGAAAACATCGCCAGCTGAGTCCTTCAGCTGCTGCTGCCGCACATCCTGTGCGGGCCATAACAACAAAAGTCACACAGCTTCCTTGACGCCCTGATGTCTGCCAAAAAGTTTGACGTCTGCAGCTGCCTGCCACACGCAACAACAAGCTCGGGCATCATAACAAAGCACACACACACACACTTACTCGCACACACACGCATTTAACATGTGGCCAGCATTTGCTCTGAGTTATATATATTTACGTTTTTCTTTGTTTCTTTTTTTTTTTTTTTAATTGTATTCTTTTTTTGTTTTGTTTTTTTTTTTTTTTTTGGCACTCGTAATTGGCTTTAGGCCATTTAAGCGCTGAGCCTCACTTTTGTTAGTCACTTTTTGGAACTGTTCGCAGGCACTGCTCGCGTGTCCTTGCCGCTCACGGATACAGCACTAGACTGAGCTTAGCATGCGGCCAGCGCTTGCTTTTAAGCTGGCACGACTCCTGCGAGTCGCTAGTTCGAATTTCGAATATGTTTGTGCGCCTGCGCCAGATGTAGAGAGCGAGAGAGAGAGAGAGAGTTCTGGGCTGTCTTACTGAATAGAGCTCCCACTCTCTCTCTCGCTCTCTCTGTGAGTGTGTGCCTCCTTGGCGCTTTCTCTGCCTTGTTTTGTTATTATTATTTTCGCTTATCGCTGCTGTCGCCGTTGTCATCACCTGTTTGCATTTGGGTAGTCCTTGAAGTCGACTGTTTGCAGTCGCACGCATGTGGTGCGCCAGGATTATGTCCTGTCCACACAAACACAAACACAAACACTCACGCAAACAAACACACAAGCACACACAGAAGCAGTTGCTTAAGTAGCAGCTTTGCGTAGACAATCGGGACAGCTTAGGCCACATCAGCAGAGCACCTGGCCGACTGCCTCATTGACTTTGGCTGTTGTCGCCTGCTGGCCTCTGGCAGCGAAACCACATTATGTAATAATGTTTCACTTGTGCCTCGCATTTGTTTGTCATGCCCGGCCAGGGGGCGTGGGTGGGGCTCGCCTGGTCAGTCTCAATGCTGCGTGTTAAACTTCAAATTAATTGCTGCCGAAAAATAGTCCTTATCAATGGTGTGAGTGGACAACTCTGTCTGCTGCAGACCACAAACCCAACAAGCAGCACGTTTGCCACAGCCAGCAGCAGCAATAGCAGCAGCAGTAGCAGGGGTTGCAGCAACAACTGCAGTAACTGCAGCACATACACTCGAAGAAAGAGTTGAACAGAGAGAGCATTTTTTATGGTTAGAATTAGCTTAGTTATTTTTGAAGTTGTAGCTTTGTATACCCTGTAAAGTATCAGGATGTGTGAGCATGCTGCAGCTTGTCCAAGAGCTAAGGAGTATTCGAATGGAATGGTCTAAAATGCTGTCAATCATTTATCTCTTAAAATATTCGCCTTTGGGCCTGTCAGAGCCATATTCTGGTCTCTGCTTAAGATAAAGAATTTAGTAACCAAAAATAGCAAAATTTTAACTTTTTATAATACTCAGATCTGAACTATATATGTATATCTATTAAAAACAAAATAAAATAAAAATAAAAAAAAAATTTTTTTATTTATATTTTTTATATGCCATAAAATTTTTGTATAAAGCCTATTTTGGGTTTTAGAATCAATTATTCATATATACATACATTTTTTTGTATTAATAATTCGTATAATTTATTAAACAAGTCTTCTGCTACGTTTAATGAAAATTTACATATTTACATATGATTTTTGTATATACAGTAGAATCCGGCTATAACGACTCCGCTAGTCTGATCACCATACAAATTTATATGAGCAAACTTTTATAGCCATATCGTTTTCCGGAAATAACGCCGGTCTCTTGAGCATCGGTATCATCGGCATACACTGTATATCATTTAATAATTTGCTGTATTTTATTAGACAATTTTCCTACTGATTTCAATCGGGAAAAATATCATATAATATATTAGTTTTCTTCTATTCATACTATGAGCTAGCTGTATTTAGCATTACATCAGCATTCTCTCAGTGCACGAGAGTTAGACAAGGTCAGGTAGGTTCGAGTGGGTGTGTGTTTGTGTGTGTGTGTGTGTGTGTGTGTGCATAAAAGTCATTAAGTGTGGCCAGCAAGTGCAGGGCGCATACAAAAGCTAAGCAATAACAACAAAGGCAACGTGAACAACAACATCAAAATTGACGCCGTAACGAGGTTCATGTTTAATGGCCTTGTTGTTCGCCTGGTCCCTGGTCCCTGGTCCCTGGTTCCCGGTTCCTGCTGCCTGCTGGTGACTGGTGACCGGCGACCGGCGACTGGTGCCTGGTGCCGGGTTTGCTGTTTTGCCGGTTCAGCAACAAAGGCAAAGGCAGCCCCGAAAAGGACATGCACTAATATCGTTTCAGTGCCGTTTGTCCTTAGGTCCTGGCGTCCTTTAGGCATGCACGTTGTCACCGTATCTCGCTGTCGCTGTCGCAGCTTGAACCTGACACAGAAAATTGTATTTTAATGATGGGGCACAGCAATGTAGCTGGCACCCAACCTCACACTCTCACTCTCTCTCACTCTCGCTCTCTCTCTCTTACTCACGCTGTCTGGCGCTGTGCACATTCAAGATGTTAATAAAGCGACACACGCTGCAGGTTGCGTTCTGGCTGCTGGCGCACAGCGCAACTGCATAATGAAGTTGTAACTTGTACTTGCAACAGAGGGCCATTTTTTTTGGGGGTTTGTTGCCATTTTATGGCGCTGCTGCTGCTGCTTCAGCTTCAGCTGGCAGCAATGGCAGCCACACCTGTAACAGTACCCGGCTGCTGCATACCTGCAGTTGGCATCCGCCTCAGTTGGCATGCAAATTGTTGTATTGCATTGTTGCACTGTTTAGATCCCTGCTCAACCTCTCTCTCTCTCTCGCTCCCGCTCTCCCTCTTTTTTTATCCCTCCCGCTCTCTTATTTCTCTATAGCACTGCTAGCATCCCTTTGAGCTGCTTCTACTCCACTTGATGTGCAGTGCGCTCTTCACAAGCCCTGCATTTTATACGCTATGCCTCAATGGAGCATAGTTCAGGTATAGTGCGTATTTGAGTTATATATTTTTGTTTTCTACAAACATTAAACCTTAATTGAATTTTAAAACTCGCAAGAGCTTTGTCTGTGATTTGCATGATGTGATCAGTAGGAGAGGAAGTTTTAGGGACTCTTGGAAATAAAAGAAAAATGATTGGAAAATGATTATTAGTTATAGTTCAGAGATTCCAGACTTGATATAAAACAATATTTCTCTTGCTCTCGAATATTATTTTCTTTATAAGACTTTTTAAATAAAGTTATAATTAAAAAAAAAAAAAAAAAAAAAAAAAAAAAAAAAATGTTTAGCACATTAAAATAAATATTTATAAACTAAAACTAAAAAAAAATATGATTTATATGATATGATTTTTGGCATTCCAAATAAACATTGAAAATATTAGAGCAAAGTCTGCATACAAAACTCTTTAATAATGCAGAGAGTATCTCATAGTTTGCCTCCAACATACGCCACATTTTTCCTTGTTATCAAGTGTAACTGTGTGCGTGTGGCTGTGCCTGTGCCTGGTTGTGTGTGTGTGTGTGTGGAGTGTATTTGGAGTGCACTTGTTTGTGCATTGCTGCAGTCGTAATTATTGTTAATGGCCATTTGCCAAGCGCTTGTTGTTCTGACTTAAATCAGAACAAATTCATTTGAGGTGGACCCAAGCCACTCAAATAATGATTCACAACTGAAGTGAGTCATTAACAGGGTGCACCCCCATCTATAAGTGGGGCCGTAGTCACAATTAGCGCCGGCTGTCTTAGTGCTCCATTGAACTAGACCGGAATAAGTTGATAACTGGGATATCTATATCTGTATCTGTATCTGTATCTGTATCTGTATCTGTATCTGTATCTGTATCTGTATCTGTATCTGTATCTGTATCTGTATCTGTATCTGTATCTGTATCTGTATCTGTATCTGTATCTGTATCTGTATCTGTATCTGTATCTGTATCTGTATCTGTATCTGTATTCCATCATCTTTCTTTCATAATTCTAGGGTATATCACTCATTGTATATCACACAAAAGATGTATGATTTCATTTAATTAAATTTTGATTTCTTTTGCAGTTGAAGCCGCAGATGAACCGAACGAGAATGAGAATGAGGACAATGCCAGCGAGGAGGATGTGGAGAACGAGGAGTTTGGCGAGCCAGGCAAGTGCTGAAAAACTGTGTGAATATACGAAAAATGTTTTCGCAACTAATGGCATTTGGGTGTTACATCTGCTGCCCCGTTTCCTCTTCCCATTTCTAAAACAGATAATGGACTTACGGAGAAAACGTTCAAATTTGAGGATTTCGCTCGCAGGTAAATTAGCAATGGCCACAAATGTCTCCCCAATTCCATTCAGTCCCAGCCGCAGGCCAATTTCTATTCCCATTCCTTTTTTTTTTTTTTTTTTTTTTTGTTTTTTGTTTTTTGTGGCCACATTTTATTGGTGTTATTTGAAAAGTTTCATTGATGGTCGTGCTGAAAATTGTAATTGTAATTTTAATTGAAAGGCAGAAAGCGAGTGGCAACGCACAGCTCGTGGCTACTAATTAAGGATTAGCGTCAGAAATTACTTGTGCCCAAAGTTTTATGAATGCCAAAAACTTGAATGCTGCGCGCACAGCTGCCGCGTGTAGGTGTGCGGTGTGCGGGGAGGGGAGTGGCTGTACTTCTAAATGCCCACAAACAGCAGCAGCAACAACAACAACAACAACAATTATATTATTTAATGGCGCTGCGGCTTGTATTTAAATTGTTGCTTTTGGAAATGTTTTGGAAAGTTTTCGCTGCGGCTAAGCGCTCAAATCATAATTAGCTTAATTTTGCATAATTTAATTGGTGTCTCCTCTCATTATGGCTTTAATATTTTCTTGCTTAAATCAATCCCCTCCACACACACACAGACTGCTGCATCCGAAGATCGTGCGTGCCTGCACTATCGTCCTGACGGACTGGGCCCAGATACCGACGCGGGCGCTCAAGGCGGCTGTCACCATATTGCATCGCATCGCATACGGATGCTCCTGTCCGGGCATGCTCTACCAGGTGAGTGAACCAACTGTTTAAGGACTGCCGCCTGCTGTCTGCCGGCTGCTGTCTGCTGCCTGCTGCCTGCTGCTTTTAATTCAGTTTTTGCGCCGAGACGCAGCTCTTGGCACATAAATCAAAGTCAAATGCAAAAAAGCGCGCTGCGGCTCAGCAGCCATGACTCCGGCTAACGGGACTCTCCAGACTCCACGGTCTGCAGTCTCTAGTCTCGAGTTGTCCGTTGCCCATTGCCAGTCTAACTCGAAGGCGCCCGGTTTTTATTTTCGTCATCTGCTCCGCTCAGTGGCTTCGTTTTTATGGTAATTTGTACAAATTAAGCGAACCTTTTTTCTATTTGTGGCAACC